TGCACCATACATGGCTTATTTACCTGTGTTTTGTGTGATGTGTGTTGGTATCAGGGGAGGGTTTTGAGTACAGTGAGATACCTGCACTGAGCAGAAACTCCTCTGTCCATCCAGACTGGGTTTGAACAGGTGCATGTTGTAGGCCAGTTTTGATTCTTAGGCCATCTCTGCCGGGCAGGCTTGAGCTTACAAACTCAGCTGTTGTATTTGGTTAGTCATATAACGACTTTGCTTAAAGCACAGCTAAGGACAAACACCTCTTTTCAGTCATCCCTTCCATTGCGTAAGAGCAATAGAACAGACAGCCACTGCACTTGAAATTTTTGATGGTTAGAAACACCACTGTGGATTTTTGTATTGCGAGGAAGTTAGCTCTGGTGCTTCATGGCTTCATTATGGTACCTGAGCAAAATGAGCTTGGAAAGACCTGCAGTAAGCTGCCTTACGTGTTCCTGTGTGGTTCTTTGAATGTCAGAAGCAAAGCTTATCTTTGTGTTTGAAATTAAGTGTCTTACAATAACCTGAATTTACAGCAATTTGGAACGGATGCGGCAGAGCGGAGCAAGTTGGGGAACCCCTGCTGGAGACAGAAATTTGACTTCAAGTAGTAGGCGCAGCTCTTGCTGTGGATGCTAGCAAGGAGCTCACAGACTCTATTATTTGATGGCTAAAAGTGTCTTGCAGCTGTTTAAATTTACAGCAAATTGAGAAGAATGCAGCAGAGTGGAACAGATTGTTCGTACGTGCTGTGTGCGCCTGTGTGAACCTGGGCTGTGCGTCCTGGCTGAGCAGGTGTGTGTGCCCCATGGGGTTTGTCATCTCCAGGGCTACCCGCCAGCCACTGGGCTCGTCCCAGCAATCCTGAGCTGCAGGATCGGGAGTTGGGTGGCGAGCAATGTGACTGTAAAAGCAACAGCTTTAAGCAGAGGACACCAGTATTGGAAAAAAGCATGCAGAACTGCAGCCCAAAGTGCTTTTCTCTTGAAGAAAGATATGCAAAGGAGCTGTTCTTTCTGGAAGTATCAGCCCTGAGGAGCTCTTACGTAGGGCTGCAGATGTAGCTGTCAAGTTAAATGAGAGTGGCTGGGTGTGAGCAGTCTCCTCGCTGCAGATGTGTGCAGGTCCCTGATGTGGGACATGTCTGTTGGGCACAACAGGTAACAGGCAGCAGCGTGTCTGTAAGGAGCAGTGCTTTGCATGAGCTTAGCCAGGATGTCTTGGAAGCAAAAGCATACAGTAAGAACAGGGCTTTTAATTCCAAGGATCAACTGTAATGGAATCTGCCTTTCAGAGATAGGGTGTAGGGATTGATTTTGTGTCAGGAAGGAAGTTCTCTGCCAGCACATCCAGCAAATGCAGGGTCTTTGATTTCTTTTCTATTCCTTACAGTGGTCCATTGCTTCAGAATGAATGTGAGGTGCTCTGTACAGACAGTACTTTGGCCTTCAACCTTTTCAAACACATCACAAGGTTTAAAAAATAAAAAAGCAAACCATCGAACAATAACAAAAAGAAGCCAGACAGTAATAGATAGTTTTCCAGTGATCCATCACGTACTCTATCACAACTGGCAAGTGTATATTTCCAGTGCTTTCAAGCTCTTTCTCTGTGCGTGGATCAGAGGTTCCAGAGATGTATCTAGCTTCAAACGAGGCTGAGATTGTCTTTTACGCATCTGGCCTAAGAACCCTGAACTGAAAGCCAATGCAGCAGTGTAGAACCACAGTGAATTTACAAGACCTGGAAACCCCTCCAGGGAGTATCGTTATCCCCAGCTCCCCTGTACAGTATGGCTGCTGTTATTAGGAGAAAACCTGAAAGCTTCTGCAGTGCCCCCAGTTTATTCTGTGTGGGGAGTTCAGAGTGCCAGGGACAGGTAATTTAAGGGATGTCTGCTGCTTAGTGGTGCCGACTCTCATAACTTCACTGGCTTTGTGGCATTTGGTGCTGGTGCAATAGCTCCTGGAGAAATCTGGGTGTGTCAGAGTATCAGCATCTCTCTAGTTCATGATTATGTGGTAGAGGGGAAAGCTCAAAATGGGGCACAACTACAAGTTAAAGAAGCAGCATTCGGAGTGGAAAAATACACGCTTCCCCCAAATACTTTTGTGAGGTTTGGAGACTTGGTTTAAGAGCTCCGTTTTTGTGATGCACCTGCTAATAACTCCAATAAGAGATTTATTTGTGTTTCTGTAGAAGTTGTTACTTGGGTGCAGTTAGTGATCTGATGTAGCCCTAAATCAGTCTGGGCGTGTGGCCAGTTATTCTCAGTTTTGTCTCTATAACTGACCTTGTTTTCTCCTCTCCAGTGTAGCATAAAATTTATATGTATTTCCTGAAAATTGGAAGATCCAACAGAGCTTTGTGAAGTGCTGTTGAGTCAATGTGCATGTAACACTGGGATTTGGGGGTAAAAGTTCTCTTAGAGGTGCAAAGGGTTATGGTCCTGCTGAAAGATTAGTGAGAGATTGAGCTACACATTTGTAAGAACCCAGAAGACTTGCCAAGACTGCCAATATGTGATCTCTGGGCTTTGGTGTTGACTAAGCACAGTGCAAACACATGTGTGTACAAAAACTGGAAACAAGAAGTTACGAGTTTATATTGAAAAAAAATCACAACAAAAACAACCCACAAATAAAAAATCCCCCCCCCCAAGGAAGAAAAAAACAAAACAAAACAAACAAAAAAAACCCTGAAGATCAGGAAGGAGTGGAAAATGCCCTTCAAAAAATACTTTAATTATTCACTGACAGAAAAGACCGCTTCTAGTGGATATTGTTTTCCCCGATGCAACTGTGAGAGGAAATCCTGTTACTCAACCAAAATAGTACATGTTGTAGGATGATGATGATGTATTAAGGATAAAATTCAAAAAAAGTCAGAAGCCATGCTGTATTTCCTTCATATTGTGGATTGCTTCTCTTCTAAAGATATTAGATGTTTACCTGTTCAGTACTAATATCACTTGGATATATCTGCTGTTTGTACAGTAGGTATTTGAACGGGGGGTAAGTGCCCAGGATCATGAAGCTTTTTGCTTCCAACAAGTGCTGAAGGAGCCCAGCTGCATGCTGTCTTGGCATGCAGGTAAAGCTACTTATTGATTATGAGAGATGATTTAGGCTCTAAGCTTCATCGTCTCAGCATTGTACTGCGTATCGGTAGCAGGTGGGGAAGGGGGTTCTTGTGTCCCTGTCCAGGATGCAAAACTGTGATTTCTGTTCTCCATACCAGGTATGCACCTGTGTGGGTAGCTGGACTGGAGGTCTGTCCTTGCAAAGAGCAGCTCTTGGGGGTTTGCAGAGCATAATGCTGCAGAGCCTTGTTTTCAGCTTTTGGCAGGGCTGCCTTCCCTTTGGATTTCAGGGAGGGAGGCAGGCAAAAGGCTTCCCAGCCAGGAGGATGTTGTGCTGCCGTCCTGTCCAGCTGCGGTCCTGAGGTCAGGGAGGGTGAGCAGTTAGGAGTAAAGGAGCTCTGCTGCGACTGTGGGCTGGAGGTGTGCTGCTTTTTGCCCCTTCTGCCCCTCCTCTGAAGATCTGACAGAAGAGATGCCTTTGAGAAAGGGCTTTCGACCTGCTTCACTGCAGTAATGGATTACTGAGAAGTAGCGGTGCCAGGGAGTATGAATGCAATTTTCTTTTGCATGATTTGGCTGAAGATCAGAAACCTGCTTCAGTGAATAGGAACATTGCTGATTAAAATGCCATGACTGTTGATGCTGTATTACAGCCATATCTTGCAGTTCTGGTAGCTCAAGTCTATCTTTCCTTGTTAACTTAAACTTTAAACTCAGAAAGGACTGTAGGAATTTAGAAATCACCTCTGCAACCTATTGAGATCTTGAGGTATGGAGACAGTGAGAGCAGGCTGAGAGACAAAGCTAAGAAAATGAATATTTGCTTTTCAGTCACACTTCTTTTTTCATTCCCCAGCTGAAAGAACTCTGTACAGCTTCAAATGTCGTTGCATCTCATTTTGGTTGAATGTAAGCTGATGGTAAAAGATGAGGCCTCAGATACCTTGTGAGGGCATCTACCTGGCAATGGCATATTATTAACAACAGTTAAAATAATTGCAATTGTTTCAGAATGAAAAGTGGAATTGTATTTGTTTTTAACCCAAAGTATCTGAAGTATCTGATTAGAACTGTTAGCACTGAGGAGGCCTTAAAATAAATACATAGTTTTCTTCATGGGTGATTGTTAGGGAATGATGGTTATTTTTGGCTGTTACTGTAAGATCAGGGAAAACAAAAGCTTCCCCCTCAACTAATTGTTTGTGGTTCTGTTTGTTTGTTTCTGGTGGTTCTATTTGTTTTGGAAAAGCCGAAGATGGAAATCATTGTGTAAGCATATGCACCCCTTCTCCATGGCTGATGATATTTGCAGAAATAGGGGCTGCTGTGGCCGGTTTTGGGGCTGTTCCCTTCATGTGGGACTGGCTGGAATTGCATTTAAACAGCCTTTTCTGACTGGGCTGCTTGGCTGAGCACCTTACTTGGTGTTTTTATTTCAAGACCAAACTGATTGTAAAGTAGTTAATTTGGTTGAGCAGGAATTTCGAAATTTCAGCTGCCTCAAGCCAACTCCTGTCAAATTTGCTAATTCAATTTGGTAGATTCAGTATAACATCCTCCCTGGTGAAGGAGGTGCTGTGCAAATAGATTTGGGAGTAAGAGAACACACCTGCTTCTGTCTCTTTTATTGTGACTTACTGAGAAGGATCCCGCTGCTGGTGGGGTGTGTCTGCTGTCAGGTTTTGCCTACTAGCGCTGTTAACTACTTAGGAAATTGAAGCGGAGTGAAGCCCCATAAAAGTGACCCATTTTGAGGTCACTAGTGTTATTGTTTAGTATTTCTAACCTTAATTCTGAGAATGAGGTGACACGTGGAGCTGCAGGGAAGCTACATCACTGCAGCAAGTCCCACACAGCTAATGTTTGATCTGGTGTATTTTCTGCAACTCCAGGGAAGGGGAAGGGGCTTGGTAAAGGAGTATTTAGCAGTGGTTTTCACCAAACCAGACTGATCCACTCCATTACTGCTCTGTTAACACGGGGAGGGATCTGCTACCACAGATGCCTCTGGTGTTTGCTGCATCAGGAAGGTTGTCAATGGGCCACACTGGGAGCAGATTATGGGAAATAAGAGTCCATAATAGTCAGACTTCAGTGTACAGGATCTTACAGTATTGCTTATGCTGCAAAACACCAAAGGCCAGAGAAGAAAATTGCAAACCAACTAAAATTAATAACTGAGAACAAGAATTACTGTCACGATGTGTCAGCTGCTCCAAGCCCTACAGGAGGCTGCTGCCTTTCTCTGATGACAGGTAGTGGTGCAGCAGTGGCTCCTGCCTGGCCAGGAGCAGCAGGTGGATGCTGCACAATAAAATGAGAACAGACAGCAGGGCTGTGAAGGATCTGCCATCCCATAATTCAATTCCTGCTCTTATTCACCTGAAGCTGAACGTGAGGATCTTTGTTCACTTTTTAATTCTGAGATTAGCTTAGGAGAACTGAATCAGGGGTGCAGAAAAAAGCTTGGCAATTTGAGGGATCTGTTTTCAGTTGGTCGTGTTGGGAAATGTTTTTGTTTGTTTACCTCTGGGATCCATTGCAATTTATGGGTATTACTGCTTTGGAAAGCAGCAGGAGTTCCTGGGGTGCTTTCTGCCAACCAGCCCTGTGAGAACTGGGGGAGGAGACCATGAAGAGCGAACAGCTGCTGTGGAAATCCAGGTGAGCAATTGAGATACATAGGAGGGATCAGTAGAACAGTTTCAAGGATCCATAGAGAGATGTGCTTACAAGTGAAGATGGGAGAAGGGTAGGATGGAACAGTTGCCAAAATCAAACACACATGCAATGAAGAATGTTTGCGCCAAGGGGCGTGTGCTGCCATCCCCTTGTGTATGGGGACTCCCTGTATATGTTGTTGCAGGAGATAACTGACACTTGCACTATTTTAATAATAAGCAATTCAGCTTATTTTAGTAAGTAGATTGATATCATTAATTCAGTATGATGACAAGAATTGCAATGTGTAGTCTATTGCATATTCAAGTTGCTAAACCTTAACCTAAATCAGGACCCTGTAAAATGGGTGTTGGTGTGGGCATGGCTGGGAGCACTCAGCAGGTGTTCTGTTACTGGTGAGCTGTCCAGTTCAAGGAGCAGCTGCTTCCAAAGCCTCCTGTGCTTTGGAAGCCTGAGCAAAACTTAAGTACAGGAATTGAGCATATCCTAAACATGTGTGCCCTCACATAATTACCTTTGCACACTCATGACCCCAATCCCTCTTTTCACAGGGGACCCCAAGAGTAACACTGCTTTGGCTTTTCTCCCTTGTCTGGTGGGAATGGACAGTGGCAGCATGAGGGCCTTATGCTGTCCCTCGGCTGGAGGACTTGGACTTGTGCTGCCAAAGGACTCCTAAAGCTGGCTGCAACAAAGGCACAGTGTCATGCTGAGGAGATGTCAGAGCTACAGCTGGATGTCTCTACCTGAGAAGTTAGAGCAAAAGGAAATAGAAGAATGCAGGATAATTACAGTGTGGTTTGTGGTTATGACAGAACTTAAATTGCATGGTATAAAAGGAGTGATCAGACAATGTTAATTGCTTTTGACAATGGTGTCATTTAAATTCAAATCCAAATTTTTCTTCAAAAGTTCTGAGGAAGCTTTTGGTTATGTTGGACTTCCCAGCACAGAATGATGGGAACACTGCAGTGTCTTGAAGACAGGATCTTAGGAAGCTCTGAGGTTTAGAAACAGTCCGTGGAAGAGACCAAATCAAAACAAAACAAAAACCAGAACAAAGAACCAACCAAGAGCAAAGTCACCCTTCCCTCCTCAGAGCAGTAAGTGTTCATAGAAACAGCAATGGCACTTGGAATCACCTGGGCAAGAAATTTTCAATGGAAAAAGAATTATCAAAGCAGCTTGGTATTTTTTTTCCTTTGCTGTTTAGATAAGAAACAATTGGTATGGTTTTCTAAATAAAATAAAATGCTGTTTTGTGTAAAATTTCGATCTTGTAAATCAAGACTCAAGCAGGACAGGATTATGGATGGAAATGTTTGGTTTAATAGCATAACAAGTTTGGAACAATGTCATCTGGTTCCAGGCTCAGCAGAGAAAGGTGAAACATCACTGGAGTCAGGGTGCTACTTGTTTCCTCTAAACACTGCTAGCACAGTGTACATTTTAATTTTTCTGTTCTTGTAGTTTTGTACAGATGTTTCTCTGCCTCTTCTAGTGATTAATATTCACATGCTGGAAGAGTAATTTAAACAGGTAATAGGTACAGAGTGTAACCATTAAATCTTGTTCATAACAGAGCAGACTATTGGATGGCAATAATTAAAAATATGTGCCTGGCTTTGCAGGATGCCAACCTGTTGGCTTGGGACCCAGGGCTCACCTTAAGTGACAATAAACATTTTATATTTAGATGTTCAGAGATGAGCCAGATGAACACAAAGAGCTGTAGCAGTTCATTTTTATTTTTTTCTTTTTGTTTTCTGTAGAGGCCTTATATATACTGACGGCAGTCCTGGAGAGCAATCCAGCTTTGCTCGAGTGGGATACACATGCAGCTTTTAATCAGAAATGACAGCTATAAAGCGGCACCATGTGCAGTACCTCTGAGACCTGTACTCTTGCATGGAGGAGGAGGTGAGCAGGATGCCTAGCAAAAACAATGGTAACATTTGAAATATCTGGAAGAAATGCAGGTATTTGCTTTTTAAAAAGAGCTATTTCTGCTTGTTCTTCATTCCTGTCTTTTCTGCTCCTTCTGATAAGCAATGTGGGTATGTTGTCAGAAGGATAAGCTCTGGAAAAAATGCAAGTGGCTTGGACCCATATTTTGTAGTTAAATGGATTCTAGCTGTAAAATTGTTCTGTAGGACACAAACTAAGGGAAGCTGGGGGTGACTGAGGAAATCCTGAGGTGTTTTTTGTTTTTGTTCTAAGAGCTTCTGGAGAGCTGGGTAACTTCAGGAGTGACACAAGGTCGTCTTTCTCCTGACTAGCCGTGTTGTGAACAGTTGGGATAACAATGAAAGTGGCTGTAACCTCAGAGGTTGGGGGTTGGAATCAAAATTCAGCAAACACATTGTCAAATTCTCCAGCCCCCCGGATTGCTGGGCTCACTTTTAAGCTTTCTGTAAGTGGAACTTCCAAGTCCCTGATGGAAGGAAAATCTCAGCAGCTTTTAGCTGTCTTTTTGGCAGCTTCCATCAACATTTCTGACTAAATTTCACAACTTCCAGCTGTCTACTTGGCACCAGCTTTAGGGAGCTGAGCTAGCACTAAAGCTGGTCCCACTGGTGTGTGTGCCTTTGTTTGGGCTGCGATGGCTCATGGTACTTTTGGTGCAGAAAAGGAGCCTTCTCACAAACGCAGAAGGAGATGGGAGTCAGTTAGCACTCTCACCTCATCCTACTGTAAATAAGCTCAACTTTCCTGAAGGCTGGCCCCAAAATGACAGCCATTCCATTGCACGCATCAATGTGAAAGTCAGCAGTAAAGCCTGTAAAGTAACAAACGTCCGTAGTGAAGCTGTCATCTTTGTGAAGACCAAAACAGTAACCCAGGTGAGGAGTACTTGTTCTACTAGCCTTAATTTAGTGGAGAGAAAACATATTAGTTAGCACTTATAGGGTGACAATATTCCTATTTGTATTGATTGCACACTTATCTGGGAATTATAGCGGAAGATTCAACTTAAAGGGAATTTATGAGAGTATCTGCTGGAAAAAAAAAGGTTCTGTTTATCTACGCACTTCTCTGAAAATAAACACCTGAACTCCCTATTTCTTAAACTTTTATTCTCTTTTTCAATTCGGCCATTTGTGAAAACTGGAAAACGTTCATTTTTCTTGTTCAGTCAAAAGGACTTCCTAGAGGAAAGAAGTGTTAAGAAATGTCTCAAGTGGAAAACCAGCAGGTTTTCTTGCAAACAGGGACAGGACTTCTATTAGGCATTGCAGAAGCCTGGCCATTTCATTCTCCCATGGTTTAATAGAGGGCTAGGACTTACCTGAAGCTGAATCAGAACTGGATTTGCCCCAAACCAAGAAACAAGATTTGTATTTGTCTCAATAGATACCTTGTGATACAGCACAGGGGAGACAAAAACACAGAAATGTGCTGATGGTATTTTATATGCAGAAGGAAGAAGAAAAGCAAGCTGAGAAAGAACCAGATATTTCCAGATAATGGAAATATCCAGTCGTGATCTTACTGTTTGCAGTAGGGTAAACTGCAGATACTCCGAACAAATATAAATGTCAAAAGCCTGTGGGAGAGATGAGATCACCCAAAGGTTAGGTACAAAAACAAAGCAACTTCAGTGTATTTAAATAAGTGGTCCTCGTATCGAATGTTAAAACATTTCCCTCCTGTCAGTTCAGTGCTAAATGGAAACTATAAAATCGAATGCTAAAGTGAAACAGAGCAAACGTGTGTTTGGCTGCCTACATATCGCTGACAACTGGCCGTGGTGAAGACTGAAATGGTTTGGTGGGTATCAGCAGGCTGCTGCATTCCTACAGTTAATGAGCTGTTGGACTGTTGTAAGGTGCATAAACACCCCCTAGTGCTGTATCTATATTAGCAAGATATCTAGGTCAGTAAGAGATGGGGAATGATAAAATCGGAGTGAAGGTATGGAACTTGGAAATGGGGATGTGCATTATGGAGGTTTTGTGCATTTACTCTCCTGCTTACATAAAATGGAGATGATTTATTATGGAGTCCAAAAATGCCATTAGTATGCTACATTTGAAATGCAGACCCTAATCTTTCTTACTGTTGTCCTGCGTGAGGAATTTTAATTATTCTCTAAGGTTGAAAGGAAAAATACCCCCTGGAAAAAAAAGAAATAATACTGTAGTAAACAGCTTTTCTGAAATGTAAGCTTTCAGAAGTAACGAAAGAGAAAATGTGGAAATGTTAGAGCAACACTCATTTTTTTACTACATTACCTTGTGGAAAGGGTATACAAGAGCTGTTAATATTTTATTACGGAGATGTGTAACTGTGTTTGCAGTTGACTGATCTGACTGTATGCTAAGAATTATGTTGACAAACAGGCATTTCTCAACTATAGCACTAGCTTTTTTGTTTGTTTTAATGGCCAATTATTTAGCAGTATCAAGTAACCCAAGTATTCTGCTATGCAGTATTTCTTTTTCACATCATGTGTTTTTATGCACGTGTTCTGTGTGGTGGGCTGCTCAGGGCAGGGAAACCTGCAGGAAACACACGACTTGCTCTGATCCTGTGCTGGTACCCCTCTCAGCCATGATGGTGTATAGGTGAGAGAAGAGGTGATATTTGCTAAGAATAATTACAGTGGTGCAACTTGAAAAATTTTATTATTAACTCAGTGTATCATACATGCATTTTTTAAAAATGTTAATAGTTTTCACCGTTTTGAGCTATCTTCTAAGCAATTGTCTCATTCCAAAAATTTTCCCAAACAAGACTTTGATAACTTTTACCTCTTCCTTCTTAAATGTTAATATAGGAAAAAAAAAACAAAAAACAACAAAACATGGTATTTTTCAAATTTTTACTTATACTTTAGCATTCAATCCCAAGCCCTTGGGATACAGTTAATTTCTCTGGCTCTGTATCACTGCTTTTCCAAGAGTGAGAGCACTAGATGGCTGATTTGAAAAACAGCAGCTGACAGCTGCACTTAGTTTCAGACAGCGTTAACTTCTGTTCCTGTTACTTGAGTCTGTTGAAGATGCATTTGAAGCATGCGTTTGAAGCATGCGAAAATGCGTTTGATATCGAAGACCTAACTCTAGTACAGTCCTGTATTTTTAAGGTTTAGACTGTGCTGAAGCAGAGACTGTCACATATATACCAAGTTATTTTGATAATAGTGGAGGGAAACTAATTTGAAGGAAATGCCACAAGTACATGATATACCTAAATATACTTGTATTAAATTGACTCTGATTGTTAGAGGTTTCAAATGGGAAGGAAATACCACAAGCTCAGCAAAACCTGTTATATGCATATGTTCCACAGGGACCGTCATGGAAAAATTGGAATAGAGTTTTATGTTCAGATACCTTTAATATTGTGCTGATTCTTCTCTGTCAATGTTGAACCACTCTTCTTTCATGGAGATGAGAAGGCTGAGAGTGCTCTCCTCTTGCATAGTTCTTTTTTTTCTCAGTCCCTATTATATTCCCCAAAATGAATCTTGGTATGGTGATAACATTGCTCGGAGCTCAGAGGTGAATTTTATTTTTGTTCTTAGTCATCAGGCTGTCTTAAAATACTCAGGATGTGGAGACAAATGACTGTCACAAGCAAGAAATGTGATGTTAAGAGACCTCGATCATGCACTTACCCAGATAAATTCCTTCTACCAGCAGGTTCAGCGGAGGATAGTGAGTGGCCCTTACATGAGTGAGGGTGTCAGGAGGTCTCTTTTTTGCTTTAAATTCTGCCTCCTTGCCCATAGGCTCATGGAAGAAAGAAAAGTTAAGGTCTGAGTAAAGGCAGCAGCAACCCTTGGTGCCCAGTGCGACTCAGTAAAGCAGTTTAGGCCCAGATCTGCAAAGAATGTTCATGGCAATAAGATAGAGATAGATGCATTGAGGGTCAACAGTACTCCTATGTCTCCCTTCTCTGCTTCTAAATCAGGGGAAACAGCACTTCCTTACCTATAGTTCCATCTTTCCTGGGAGTAAAGACAAAAAGCATTGCAGGTTGCAAAGTGCTCAAATGCTAGAAAATGTGGCTTCTCTGTGTGCCACTAAGGAATTTATAACACCCTGCTTGCCGTTACGTAGGAATTCCTTCTTGTCGCATACCTCTTGAAGCTTGGGCTCTACACAGGAGGCAGCACTTACTGTTGGTTAAGAGTTGCTCTGACATGATGGAAAACAGCCAAGCCCCCTATTAGACCAAGGCAGAATGAAGGCAGCTGCTGGCGCCGCACATTTCAAGGGCACCACGTGCATCTTGTCATGGAAATGTAATCTAATGCTGTGACACTGCTTTCCTTCAGGCTGTCTTAAATGTCATGGGGGCAGCACTTTTTTACTATTAGGGAAATACTGTTTTCTTTGACTTCATGTTTTGCAGTGTGTGTTCCACTGTTCTCTGCAGAAAATTGGTAAGGATGTGTACAAGAGAATCTAGATAGCTATCTGGGTGGGAGATGGGTTTTGGACCTCTCAAGAAGCAGCTCACAGCATCCATGGCAGGCAGGGAGATAGGCTGATACTTTTAGTGAGTGTTAACGGTAGGAAAAATTTTCCTGAGTGCAATTTTGGTGTTGTGGTGCTCGTCAGAGTCCAAGTGAGCCAAGGGCCTGTCCTGGGAGCTGGGCTCCTTCTAGGGCCGTCCCTGGCCACAGTGTGGGCACTGGAGGGATCAAAAGCACCTGCATCTTAGCTGCTGTGCAGAGCCTCCCAGTGTCTCCCTTGATTTCACCCTGGTGAAGAAGGGTGGCACTTCCCTATGCTGCTGCAATGGGGCTTAGATGTGGAGGAGCCCAGGGGTATCCTTCCTGCCATCCTGCAGGGCTGGCGGAAGGACCGCATCCGTCAGGCTCTCACAACATCACAGAATCACAGAACTGTAGGGGTTGGAAGGGACCTCGAAAGATCATTGGGTCCAACCCCCCTGCCAAAGCAGGT